CGGTAGGGACCTCAGGGCTTCATATTGCTTAGGGATTCATCGAGTCTAAATCAACCCTGGTTCTATGAATTTTTTTTTTTCGAGAAGGGAAGGCGTGTTGAGGTACGTGAGGGTGGGCTCAAGCTCCTCATGTCTTCATTTGTGCCTGCAGTCATATTGTTATAAATCATTCGGCATTTGACAGATGATGCGACTGTGAAGTTACATGGCACTAGTGCTGGTGACAGACCGATGACACTTGATTGTCTGAGGCGTCTGTGAGTTTACGTGGTATAATCAGCGAGGACAGACCGATGACACTTGATTGTCTGAGGCGTCAGAAGTTACGTGGTATAAGCAGCGAGGACAGTCCGGTGATGTTTAACTGTCTGAGACGATTGTGAAGTTTCGAGGTACAAGCGACGTGGACAGACCTATGACACTTGATTGTCTGAGGCGTCAGAAGTTACGTGGTATAAGCAGCGAGGACAGTCCGGTGATTTTTAACTGTCTGAGACGATTGTGAAGTTAAGTGGTACAAGCGACGGGGACAGACCGATGACACTTGATTGTCTGAGACGATTGTGAAGTTAAGTGGTACAAGCGACGGGGACAGACCGATGACACTTGATTGTCTGAGACGATTGTGAAGTTAAGTGGTACAAGCAGCAAAGACAGTCCGATGATGCTTGATTGTTTGGAACGACTGTGAAGTTACGAGGTACAAGCGACGGGGACAGACCGATGACACTTGATTGTCTGAAACGGTTGTGAAGTTGCATGGTACGAGCGGCTTGGAAATCCGATGATGCTTGATTGTCTGAGACGACTGTGAAGTCACGTGGTACGAGCGACGGGGACACACCGAGGCCAATATTTATATTTGAAATAGGACTACCAAAAAAAAAAAAAAAAACCACTACACAAACTAGCATCATCTGGCTCGATCTCTCCCAGCAGAATGGTTTGCTGACTGCCGAGAATGTCACACAAACTCCATAGCTCCGGCGATGATCCCCAGTGATCTCTGTCAAATGTGCACTTATTATCAGCGCGACGCTGCCATGAAATGAACCCATGACATTCAGAGTGCGAGGCAAACATCTTGACCATGGAGACGTGCCTTATTTTCCCACCTGTCGGTCATCAGGTATATGGTGCTAGATCTATATTTGAACAGCTCGATCGATCCTCGATGGCTGATGTGTTCAACTGGGACCAACATCATGCTGGCCACATTTACTTCCAAGGACATTACCTGGTATCCATTTTAGACTGGGACGACCTGGGAGCCAAGATAAAATGTTTCTTCCAAATGTGCTTGGTGTAGAGGTGAATTTTTCTTCTTCTACTTCTTCATTTTACCATGATAATAAATACATGGTGTCTGTTTAGATAATGGCTGTGATATTTGCACGTTTTGACCGTGTTGTGTGCTAAGCTTACTTGGCTGTTCAGTTGTGCCTGGCATCGGAGGCGTGATCACCTACGTCGGTCGTAGCACGTTGGATGGTGATGATGATAGCAGAGGCGAGTGCAAAAGGTCCATACGTTTAAACTGAGAGACGAGTGTTTCTTGGACTTAGCGAGTGATAGCCTATTCACGGCTTTTGCTTGACTAGTCGCTAAGCCGAAAGTTAGCCCGCAGTTCGGATGTTTGAGATTTTTAGTATTAATTTTTGTATTTTTATATTCTTGTGGTAGCTTAGACTGTTCATTAGAATTGTGTGTATACTTCGGAATGCTCCAGTTGAGGGTATGTAGTGAAGAAAATGCGTTGAGGGCCCAACATTTCTATATGATCCAACTTCGAGGATGTGTTCCTGGTCAAGTTGGAGGGTGATTCGCAACTGTGTGTCGTGGAGGTGTATAGATGTGTGCAACGACTCTAGTCAGTTATGACCGGTTATAAGTGACCCAAAGTGTGGGTACATAACTAGATGTTTATTAATATGGCCGGTTATAGGTGGCTTAAAGTGCTGGCACATAATCGTGGTGTTTTTGAAAGGCTACCGGTGACCCCAAGAGAGGGTCCGTAGTCCTAAGGCGTCATATGTTGTTGACTCAGGTCAAGTCGTGGCTTTGTGTTGCCCTTTGATGTGACACCACCTTGGAGACAAATCAGTGAGTATCTGAGAGTATTAGACAGACACTAGTTCTGTAATCACCAATTCATCCTTATCGTCATACTGAAACTGATGCACCGATTGTAGAGATGACTTTCAACGTGTTGTTGTTGACACTGTTATCAGTGGTTGTGGAACGATGTGGCTAAATGTGTAAGGGTGATCTAAGAACTCTACAGTAGGGAACCCAACTAGTTGTCATATAGTCGACTTGGGAACTTTTGTATATATATATATGGCTGAAGCATGAATCATTCACCCCCTACCATATGCTCATATACCACCTCACATTTAGCATACAACAAGCAGACACATCTGCCTTCTGCAGGTATTTGTTGTCTGGCTTAGCCTTTCTAGAGATTTGAACTCAAGACCTTGCAGGCCGGCAGGGAGGTGACTAGCTACTGTGCTACCTTCGCTTTGGTCAAATAGTTTTGTTACTTCACCTTTGCTTTCCTGGTCTATTTATTAACAAGACTTATGACACACACAAGACTCCTCAACCAACCCATGATCCGTTTGTGTTCTCTAAGGCCCCATTTGTGGAAGAAGAAAAGAACAGACCCGCGGCCACTCTAACAAGCATGCCGTAAAAGTAGACTAACTCGGGTAATTCCTTCCAAGTCGGAGTACATCTGCTTGAGGGGTAAGGAACCAACAGACTGCACATAAATAAGCCATATCTATAAAATGGATGTGCATGCAAGTTCTGGAACAAGACTAAAGTCTCTGAAGTCGGCAAACAATCTTAACTTATCGCTGAAGTTCACAGCCCGTGAACGTGAAGAATGAGAAAAACAAACGTAGACACTCACAGTGGCTCTAAGTTTTCACACACACCCACCCACACACATACGCATGCACACATACACAAACGCACGCGCACGATGTCTGAAACGCGAATCTTTAAAAAAAATATAGATCAGAGACATCAGGCAAGAATGTGGTGGGGTTCAAATACAAGATTGCTCAGATGGTAGGTGATTAACTTTTACATAACCTTGGAATTTGATGATGAGTACAAAACACAATGGATATAGGAAGACAGTCCCTATTCAAGTATTGATGTTCCAGTGATGTGAGATCTGAACAAGCTTGTTCATCACAGCGAGGCTGATATAGATATTTTGTTTCAGATCTGATGCCAAGAGTACCAACTCTAGGTTTTCTCTCAGCAACCAGCTGGATGTGCAAGCTAAGTCCTTGAATTTCACATCTAAGAAGAGATATATAAAGATGCTACCATCTCATGATTCAGCACAGCAAAGCTGTGTTGCCAATGCAGCTATGGGAACCAATTATCCATCAGGATAAGTGGACATCTCTGGGGTGCCTTCTACTGTTAGCAGGAGTATCACAGAGCAGGGCATTCACTTCCCTAGCAATCTAAAAGGTTGCCAAAGGCTGAGGACATAGTCGAAAGCCATGTGGATGTGGAAATCAAGGGAAAACCACCACATTGTTATCTCAAGAAACTTATCACAGAAGCCACAGCACATACAGACTTACTGAAATTGTGACTAGGCTAATGTTTCCCTAATCGGATTTTAGGCGCTGATGTTTCCTTAATGGGTGACACACCTCCATGCCATGCAACAAAACTGTCAAGCATCTTCTCTCGTTGTCTTCCTCTATCCCTCTTTCCACAGATCTTTCCAGTGGTCACAACATGTTCTATTTTACCTCTTCTCATAACATGGCCGAAAAATGATGACTGTCTCCTTCTGATGTCTGTGATAAGTTGTCTTTGGGCTCCCGCCTCTTTCAAAAACCTCTTGGTTGCTCTTTTTGGCTGTCCAAGGTATTCTAAGCATTCTTCTGTAAAACCACATCTCTGGGGCCTCTAGAAATTCTTTGGCCTGCCTACCGATTGTCCAGGATTTACATATGGGTTTTAGGCATGGCATTAACAATAACATTCAGCCCATATCCAGAAAAAAAATGCAACAAGTTGAATGCATTTAAAAAATATATATTTAAAAGACAGCTAAGATTATGTCACTATATTTAATTACATTTGCTTTATGTATCCAAAGAAGAATAGTTTTTATAATGAAGTGGAATGCAATTTTTTTAATTATTTTGAAGCCACACTCTGGTTGTTGCCCGGGGCCCTAATATAACCTGATGTTTGAATGGTGTTTCTGGGACCTCTCCACGGGTGATCCTCATCCTGTGTGTCACTGGGTGTTTATCGCTCAGTGTGATGTCTTGGTGGGGTAAAAAGTCAGTCAGTTAGATGAATGCATCACTATTAATTTCATTTTTGTCCTAAAGTGGTAGTTAATTTTTCACTATTTTATGGCCCCCACCCCAGCTGTAGTTGGAGGGCCCTAATATAACCTAACAGTTGAACTGGGTTTCTGGGACCTGTGCCCGGGTGATCCTCATCCAAATGGTAGCACTTAGTGTCACCAGGTGTTGATCGTTCATTGTGGTGTTGAACGATACACACAGATGAATTTATTACTATAATTAGGTAACTAAAAGTACTCTCTTGTTTATCTAGGTACAAAGCATCACTGGTGATTACTCTGTTTCATTTGTTCATCAATAACAATGTCTACTTATGTGTATCTCTTCAAAAATATACATCTTTCAATACGTATGCTTTATGACTCTTCTATTAGAAGTAGATAATTAGAGAATTCTGACAAATTATAGTATAATAAAATTAAGTACTAGCATTTTAAGTGAGCAATTGACATTCCTTGAACAAATCAGAATACATTGTGAAAGTTGAAGGAGAAGACAGACTGAGTTAGATCAAGCAACAAGATGTTAGATAGTTTGGCATCATGGCATGCAATAAAATCTGCATAGAAAATGATTAACAACAGTACATAAGACCAAAATGCTAAACATTGTCTATAATAATAAACATTATATATATTTTTAAAATGTGCCATCTGGATTGATGGTAACTACCCGGTTTTCCCGCCTTGCTTTTTCTGCAGCAAATACAAGCAAGTGACTGTTTAATGTCTCTTCTGGTCCTGTTACAAGCTGTTCTCCCGTTTCCTGGAAAAATAAAAAACCACACAAAAAACTATGGAAGTAATCAAATGCCTGTGACCACACACTTGCCTTCTCTCCTAGACTTCTAGGTGTATGTGAGATATATGAGATTCATGAGATTGAAAATGGAGATGTGGATGACATGAAGAAACTGTGGAGAAGGAGAGAAGGAACGGAAATAAAGAAATGTAAAATGACCTAGGCTACCATAGAGAGAAAGCAGTAGAAGGCAGCAATGAAGATCACTTGTGAATGCCTTAGTATCAATAAGCATTTATTCACTTTCATATACAAGATGTAATTTTCTTAACTTCTTGCATTTCACTAACTTGTTCACTAACCCACTCTGCCCCAAGCATTACCCTAACTCCATTAGACCCAAGCATTGATTGGTGGAGGCATCTTGGGGTGGCTGTTGCATCAGAGGACTGAGCACTCATGGAAATGCCAAATGTGAAGTGACATCGATTGTGATAACATAACAAAACGTAGCACTGATTAGTTAATAAATTACCTCCCTGTGTGAGTACTGGCACCCCATTGTACACTGACTGGCCCCTCCCAGCCTCCCCGCACAACAAGCATGTCATAGAAGTCTACTAATTAGGAGTGATTCCTTTGAAGTGGGAGTGCATCTGCCAGTGACAAAAGGAATGAATGAATGAATTTCTACCCCGCCAGGACATCACACAAGCGATAAACACCCGATGACACAAAGTGCCACCACGTGGATGAGGATCGCAGTGGAGAGGTCCCAGAAACCGCTTTCAGACAATTGGCCATATTTATGGCCTGCCTATATTGCGGCCCCTGAGTGGGGCTTCAAATAACAAAAAATTACGTCCTAAAAAGGACGTATGAGTATATTTAAAAAAAGGAACCAACAGTCTGCATACAAATATGCCACATCTGTAAAATAGATGTGCACATAAAAGTCAAGTTCTGTGACAAGAATAAAGTCCAGACGCAGAAGAACAGCCAGGACGTTCCGACAGATTTTACAGTCGGTGAACATGAAGAAGAAGAAGTTAAAGTAACGACTTCTTCGGACAGAATGAGTTAAAAGTACCAGCTAATCTCAACCAGTTATTATACTAATTCATTCTACGACTTTTAGTCCCACTAGGTTTATAATTATAATTTTATCACATTCACACTTCGTGCTTCAAGGTGACAATTCAGTATAGAAGGAGTCAAGCAAAGATTGTGTCAAATATCCTAAAATTCATAATCAATGTGAGGAGGTTTTAAGGGAGGTGTGGAATTTAAGCGTATTTGTATTTGTAGTAATCCGAGTAATACTATTTTTTTTCAGTTTAATTATAAATAAAACAATACCCCCCAAAAAAAAAAAATTTTATGAAAAAAAAAAAAAAAAAAAGCCAAGGACATTTTTTAAATAATCAGTGTGTATATCTAGAGGATAAAAAAAAAATTCATTAATATGATAGCACATGCATTTAAAGATTAAGAATACATTATGACCAAAATGTTTCGTTTCCTATGTTGTGAAATCTATTGTCTTCCTCCACCTTTTAGTCATATTTTGTTTTGTTTGGGAAAAGGGGGGGGGGGGGGTATAAAAGGGGGGGGGGGGGGGGGCTTGCCATATACTTGGGGAGTGGGCGAGAAGGCAACCAGAAACAGGTTGGAGATCACTAATCTATAAATAAACTGGCATTTCTAAAGCCTCTTGCTGCTACTCTACCTTCAGTGTTGCTATAAACGACTTCATGAGGTAGTAGTCGGCCCCACCATGCCCTCCCATGGAGTTAGGATGTTTGCTTGTGACGTCATGACGATCTGTAGAGATGAAAAATGTCAACAGTCAATGGCTGTGCAGTTCTTTGCAGTATTAAAAAAAAAAAAAAAAGGAAACTGAAGCATTGCCTTCTTTCCTGCATTCACTGGCTGTAAAGTCCAGTTTAAAATCCTGGACATTTGTTCATTTCTGGATTTTGGTCTAATTACAGAACTTGAGTTTTGTTTGCACATCCATTTTCCATATCTGGCTTAGTCTGTTTGTGGACTGATGGTTCCTTGCCTCACAGGCAGATGCGCTCCGATCCACATCAATCATATTTATGTTAGGACTCCCAGCTGGGAACCTGTTTCTAGGAGATTGCTGAGAGATGTAGGCAGGGCTTGACTAGCATCTGCCTTGGTTCTGGTTCACCACCATGTGTGGTTCAGTACATCTGCATGCAAAACATGAAGGCAATGTTTATTTTTACCACCTACATCTTGGACATTCAACTAAATTTACTCACGGCCAAAATTATGAAAATAGGGACCATCATGAGCCAGAACCCTGAGCCCCAGCACAGAAAGATCATTAATATAATACAATCGGCACAAGAACAGCCCTTTTCTACATCTCTGTGTGGGTTTCAAGTCTAAAATGGTGCCAGGTGAAACAGATTTAGAAATAAGAAAGCAGCTGTAATCTGATGAAATTAACTGCACACGGGTTTAATGTCTATGAATACTTCTTCTTCTGTGGCTGCCCTTGAAAGGGGTAGCTAGCACATTTTGTTGTGGTTCACAGCTAGGCTGCAATATCTGGAATTTTCAGGCAAATATGTCTTATGACATGTTTGTTAGGGAACAGTGGATCTTCTGTTTTTAGTGTCATTTGGTAAACAAACAATTGGTGAGGGAATCCCTGATCATGACATTTAACTAAACCATAACCTAGTACACCCAGCTGAGAACAATACAGCTAGAAGGGCTTTGCACTGGAACCCACTGAGACACAGAAATAAAGGCAGACCAAAATACATACAGAGAAAGGAACTAGAGAGCGAAGTTAAAAAGCTGGGCAGGTGAGCTGAGTGTGACAGAAAGGACAACTTGGAATAAATTACATAGCTATGTCAATGATTTATTTTAAAAACTATATTGTTGGTGCATTACAATTATAAAGGAAAAATGTACAAAACTATAACTAAGGGGTAGAAGAAACAACAAGTTTCCAGTTACAGCCCTTAAATTGTGAATCTCCCATTTTTGAGTGTGAAATGTAAGATTCAGATTTAAAAAATAAACCTGCATGGGTTCTGAGGCCCCATGTGTGGGAAAAGAGAAGATACCCAATGACTCTTAACAGGTATGTCATGAAAGGTAACTTATTAAAGGTTTGTGGCACTGGATGTATTTGGCTGAATATATGTGTGTATATGACAATGACTGCTCAGAGCACTAGCTACTAGTAACTTTACATATGGCTCTGAAACATGGACCTCAACAGCTGAACTCAGAGAGAAGAAACAAGTACTGAATGAAAATGAGATCTTTCAGAAAAATTCTTGGGATATCATACAGAGACAACATCACAATTTGCCGTAAAACGTCTCAGCACATTCACAACTATGAACCTCTTTTACCAAAAGGAAAAAAAAATGAAACAAAGGAAAATGTAATGGTATGGACATGTAATAAGATCTAACCACCTCTCAAAAGCAATACTGCTGGGCTCGGTAAGGAGAAAGAGGAGAAGAAGCAGACCAAGAATGACCTGGAAACAGACACTGACTGACTGGACAGGCCTTAGGCATGCAACCATGAAGTTTATCACATCTGACTGTGAAAAGTGGAGGGAGCTGATTAAACAGTCAACAGTAACTGGTGACCCATGACATGCAGTGTTACAAATGATGATGATTATAATCATATACATACACACATTCATACACTACTGTAGACCAAGTTTACCTGTCTGCTGGGTCAAAAAATCAAAAACTTCAATATTATCCCAGCCATCCTCAAAGACAATCTCTCCCTTGGTGCCATAGATCTTGACTTCTCGGGCACACAGGCGTTTTGTAAAGGCCACCATGTTGAAAGACGCGGTAGCTCCATCATCAAATTGAAATATGGTCACCTGTGTGATTGCAGAATATTGGTCATAATAATAACGGGCAATCTGAAAGGTGGATACTGCTGAAGGGGTGTGAAGAACCAAGAAACATTTCCTGGTCAAAATGGATGCTAGGCACGGTCACTGTTTCGCGTCCAGGCAAATTTTTTGCTTCTGCCAGACAGTGGCCATTGCATGTTTGATCTATTTGTAGACTGAAAGGATATAGTTTTGTCGCCCAGCTGCTGAGCTGAGTGCATGGTGTGATCCTGTGCGCTGCAGATTTCCTTTGGAATGTTTTTCGACTATGACCAATGTGGTGTTGTGAACTATAGATTTAGAAAATGGCGCATGGCTTGTCGTCGCAATATTGATGGTGCCCTTATGTGATTAATATTGATCGCGTGTGCAACTGCTGATCTGTTGGTAACTTCTGCTACAGTGGATGATAAACTGCATTTCTAATGTTAAACTGTTTGTGTTAGCACTTCGCATGACTACCGTATGCTTTCAATGCGTGTGTATGCTAGAGCATATGCTGAGACAGCAAGCTGTCAATCTTTCCACAAGGGACTGTGACAAATATTCTGTGTGTTTTTTGATGGCACAAGAGCGGAGCAGCTATGGGGTGACCCGTTTGCTATGAAGCTGAAACTAAGGTTACCAAGATTACCAAGAAGAAACAAGGCTTCATAATACCTTTTCTTCTTCTTTTTCTTAGTGTTCACCAGCAGTTAACTTTCGCAAAAAGTTTCGGTTTTTTGTTGTTGTCCACTTCTGGACTTTGATCTTGTTCCAGTACTTGACTTTTGTGTGCACATGTGTTTTACAGATCTAGCTTATTGGTTCCTGACCTCTCAGGCAAATGAACTCCAACCTCAAGGACATAGCTTTAATTAGCTGCTTTTTACAAGAGGCTTGGTAGGGAAGCACTGTGTCTATTTTCCCCCCAGCCCCCTAAAACGGGGCCCCGGAACCCACACATGGAACACATACAAGGTTAAACAATTTATAGGTAGGCTGATCAAAAAAGTCTGTGTCAGACAAACATAAGGAACTCATTGTATAAGGTTGTGCAAACATCAGAAGTCAATCAATCAAGAGCTGTCTCCACAATGAAGGTTGGCTGCAGTGGATCTTCAGCATGCTCTGTTGCTTTCTTGGTTGTATGTATATTCTCTCAGACTGACTGCTGTTCATTCATCTCTTGATGTTGTCCTCCCAGTCTGCTGCCAAACCACCCGTAGCCAGAATCGAACTGGGTATCTCAGAATCAGGAAATGTGCCTAAGACACAGACACTGAAATGCATTTATGATAAAACGTTAGTAATTAGCAAGCTAAGGACCCTAAATATGCCACTGGGGGGTCTCGTATATCATGCTAAATCCACATTTTTACAGATCTATCTTCACCCAATGAGTGATGTGGAAAACAGCATGCTACTTATCTTTACTTCCCCTGTATTAACCTGGTACCAATTTCAGACAGGGGGCAACCGAGCAGCTAAGGTATTTTCTAAAAAATTCACCCTGATGTGCATTCAAGCCTAAGACATTTGGGCTGGCAAACAAGCATCTAACCACTGTGTTAGCTCGCCTCCCATATAATCAATATAAGAGGGCCTTCAAATGAAAAGTGGGGTGGCCATCTTTAAACTGTCATTAAGATATCATGGTGTTTTCTGAGCTGTGATACCAATTGCTTAACACTCTTGTCATCTGAACAACACTCCTGCCAGGTTGCAAGACAATGGCTTGCTTTTTGTATTTCTATCACACTTTTAAGGTTTTAATTTGAAGCCTCTGATAAATATATTGTTACCTGATGCGATACAACATCATTGTCAGTGTCATACACACATTTTCCATAGGGGCCAGTTCGCAAAGCCTCAGTGACATTCTCGATGTCCACTACATCTGTGATGACACTCACTGGCCATCCAGTGTATCCCTGAAAGAACCAAGAGGTCGATGTAGTTTCATGGCAGGCACTCCTGTTGGAGTGTGAGACTTCTCATATAATAGGCTATGGGAGAATGAGATGGGTGAGTAAAACTGTAATGATATGAATAGTCTGAGTTCTTGGTCTTGCCTCCTACTCCTCTTCTTCTTCTTCTGTGATTGTATATGTGTGTATGCATGGATGCATGTATAGGTGTGTATGTATGGAATGTGTGTGTGCATGTATATTCATAAATGAATGTGTGTGTGTTTTCTGTTTGTGCATTTATGTCTATGTTTGTGTATGTATGTAGATGCATGTGTGTATGTATTACGTATGTCTGTATATGAGTGTGCATGTATGAGAACGTAGGAGTATGTATACGTGTGTGTGAGTGTGTACGATTGTGTACACATGATTCTATAATTTATACTTCTTTAATATATCTATAACATGCTTTATTGATAACAGGCATTGGTACTCTGAAAAATGAGTGCTTAGAAGGGCCTAGTGTCAGACCGGCCTGTGTGCCCAATTTGTAACCCTTTGAAAAATAAAGTTTGTTTGTTTGTTCGTTCGTTCTTCTTCTTCTATGCTTGCTCTTAAAGGGGTGATTGTCTTATTTTGCTATGGTTTAGAAGACATGATGATTACTGAGACCAACTGTCTGAAAAGAAATAATAATATAATCAATATAAAACATGGTTTAACCCTTGCACAAAGTGATCTAAAAATAAACAATGTCAATGACCCTTAATTTTTGTCAGGTTTTCCCCAAAAAATATTTCTTTAAAAACAACAACCACTTTACACAGGTCACACACACATGCACAATAATACAAAATTCCATCTATGACCAAAACAATATTTAACTGCATACACAATAACGAGGGTAATCAATAAATACAAATGGGGCAGAGGGCTGAATGGCTTACATCTCTCTGGGACTTGAAATAATTTTATGTGTGACCCGAATGTGATCCCATGACTTCACCACCAGTTACTATTGTAACTAACGGGGAATTCTGATATCCTAGTTTCTATAAATAAAACCATATTCCACAAGGAAAACACCTACCTAAATGCTATTTTCAGCAACTATGCTCACTGCTGGTCATTCTAAAAAGTTGCCCAGGAAAAAATACAAACTACAGTTAATCTATTTGCCAGGCTCCTCATAAAGAAGCCTCTATATCAAGCCAGCAAAATGATGTTTTGGTGGCACAAAGTGGAAGTTCCAGGTTTTGTACTTCTCAAGATAAGAGGGCTAAAATAATTTTTCATCACCACAATCAAGTGGCATGAGCAGTCAGGTTTCTTCAAATCTTGTGATATCCAACATGACAAAACAATTCATGTGCTGACACTTTTCTAGGAGATGACAGAAGTCTCTCAAAAATATTTTCTTGTTGTTTCTCCAGTCTTTCTTTGCATAATTAATTTCAACCAAATGTATGTTAAGGTTTTCCTTCTGCTCAGATGGGGGGATGGGGGGGGGGGGGGGGGGGAGAAGGCAAAACAGAACAGTTTTCTTTAAGCTGCTTCATGTAAACAATCTGAATATCAAACTAAAATCCTCATAATATAATTTAGTGCTGCACAGTGGTTCTCAAACATAATTAACAATAAATATATTATATAAATGTAGGCATTATTGCTGCCTGACTGGTTTAGATAAGAGGATACTCGAATGTCTCGGATAAGAAGGTATTAGAATAATAAAGCAATCGAAAAAAAAAAAAAAGCCAGTTCTCATCATCTTCATGTAGCAGGTCCTTTGCAGAAATTTGCTCGTATCACGGTCTCCCTGTCCTTTGCTCTTATCACGGTCTCCCTGAAAAAAAAAAACTCTTAGCCAGCTCTACCGCCTTTAGCGTTTCCCTACCCAGGTGTCCTGGTAACATGCCTTCTATTATTTTTCCCAATCCATCTTGGCACTTAGTATGGCCAAAATATTTCAGTTTTCAAGACACAATGCTGTTTAGTAGCCTTGATGTTCAGATTTTTTCAAGGATGTTAGTGTGTATTATTTTTTCTTGGTCCACTGTTTTCTTATAATCTTTTTTTAGCATTTCAGCTCAAAAGTCCCTATTTTCCTCCTTAAGGACTAAGCCAGTTGTAGAGACAGAATTTTAAAACAAAGCGAGAAATTGGCTCAACAGAGAGACAAATATGTCAGCAATTGAGCTGATTATGAGCACAGAGTACAACTGGCAAGCTATGGTGACACCATCTCTTCTGTATTCACTGTTAACACAGCAGCTGGCACATTATGTTGTGGTTGACAACAAGTCAACAATATCTGCGACTTTTAGCCCAACACATAAGATTTCAGCAAACCTTTAAATAAGCAGCCTTTTACAACAAACCTGTTAAACAGCAGTTGGTTTGTTCTCTTAAGGGAAAAAGTCAGCACAGCCCCAGTTCTAAATTAGATACAAAGGCAGCAAATCAAACAGTTTGCCCATTTAGAGAGAATGACTTATGATGATATATCATAGAAGCTATACAACAAAAGAGGAAAAGGTACATCATCAGGTAAACTGAGAACAAGATGGAAAGATAACACAGAGAAACTCTAAAACAGTATGATGTGTCTCTGGTCATGGCAGCTACCAAAATGGTAAAAGAGCAAGCGAAGAAGAAGAAGAAGAAGAAGAAGAAGAAGAAGAAGAAGAAGAAGAAGAAAAGAAGAAAAAGAAGAAGAAGAAGAAGAAAAAGAAAAAAAAAAAAGAAAAAGGAAGAAGAGTTTATTTTCTTTCCCATCAAAATAGGACTTCTGAACCCATACGTGTATAATGATGATACAAATTTAAACATAAAATGTTGCCTACAGATTTGGCATAACCCAGGTAAAGCTTTTTGGCAGAATATGCACAGTTTGGCTCCACAGGGCAGTCAAGACATCTGCTTGTGGCAGTTGGTGGCTGGAATATAAAAAATAAATAACATTTTTAAACAAAGAAGACACAAATAGGTTTACTTTTTGAGTTAGCGAACACACATGCTAAAAATGGAACAAAGAAAAAACAACACACCCATTCACTGTTATTACCAGAAATAAAAAACAAGGGAAAATACAAGTACTGTGAAGAGAATGAACAAATAGTTAACATCCACAAGATTCCGTCAACAAACTCAAAAGAAAGCAACATACAACAATGTTATGCTTAGGAACAGGAAACTGCAGGCTCAACTACCACATGCGTAAAATAAAGAATGTACAGTCTCCACAATGTGCCTGTCAGACAGGACCACAAACACCTGAGCTCATTTTTCAGACCTGCCCACTCTACCTACAACTTCAAATAGAAACCTGGACAAGAGCAAAGTGTGCAAAGCAAGCTATGGGAAACCATGAAGGACCTGCAGCGGACATGCGAGTTCAACACACCTGATGGTCTGACCTGAACATACAAAACCAAATGTGAATGCAAAGAAGACGATTGCTACCGCAGTATACACCTGATGAGATACAGCATAAAACGACAGTCAGTATAATGTACAATCTATTGTTTCTTCAGATCTACCATGAAGAAACATTGCTGTGAATCAGATATTACCCAGTGAAACTGCACTAGGGTAATAAGTCCCACCACGTAGAATTCCCACCCAGCTGTATGTATCAGAATAATTATGTTATTTAAAAATGTAAAGTAAAGGACCCTTTTGCACGTATTTAAGCCTTCTGGGCATATAGGGCTAGTCCTATATTTTATAAACCAATCGGCAAACAGGTTGGTGATGTAGTTAATATCATGCTGACCACTTTTATTGTTTAGGACTATACCTAGTACCCACTCAAGGCTGGGTCAACCTGGAGCCACGGTCATTTAAACAAAAATTTCCGGTCTCATCAGGACCAAAATTATTAATAAAAATATTTACAAAAGCGTAAGTTATACAAATGTAAGGTACCACATGTCAAATAGCAAGTAATGCCATTCGTGTGTGAGCTGTTAAAGTTAGTTTTCTGCATTCCAGACCAGTGGTTTTTAACCAGTAGTCCATGGACAAGCCCAGAAAAGTCCTTGTGGGTCACAGAAAAGTCCCTCTAGGTCATGAAAAAGTCCCTGCAGGCCATGGAAAAGTCCCTGCAGGCCATGGAAAAGTCTCTGCAGGCCATGAAAAAGTCCCTGCAGGCCATGGAAAAGTCCCTGCAGGCCATGGAAAAGTTCCTGCAGTCCATGGAAAAGTCCCTGCAGGCCATGGAAAAGTTCCTGCAGTCCTTGGAAAAGTCCCTGCAGGCCATAGAAAAGTCCGCTGAAAACTGTAGTAAACATGAAGAAGAATAAGAAGAAGAACAAACTCTACTAAAATTTAAAATGACATAAAACTACAGAGATGACACGAGTGACATGATGGCTACTGATGTCGGCATCAGACCAGACACATGAAGAAAAAAAATAGACTAAAAGTTAAAAAAAAAACAAAAAAAAACAACAAAAGTGTACGTTAACAGATACAGAAATTTTACCTTGTCCTTTTGTGTAAAATGAGATAACTTTCCAAAAGATGCCACACTAGTGCACCGTCTTGGTGTCATCCAATAATTTATGAGGTCAATGTCATGGCATGACTTGGACAGCAGACTAAATGTACTAGTTGCCTCATTTCGCCAGTTTCCTCTGACAAATGAATGAGCAAAATGCCAGAAACCCAACCTAAAAAAAAAGAAAAGATGCATAGTTTTTTTTTAGTTAAGTTGCCATCTTCTTCTTCTGTTAATATCAAAAGCTTGGTCACTTGCAAAGGAAACTCATGAAAGTATTGCCAGGTTGTCATTTCATTTTTGTCCCTGCGTGGGTTCCGTAGCCCTGTTATAGGGAAAACAAGAAGAGACCCACTGCCTGCCCAAAAGCATGTCGTAAGAGTCGACTGATTGGGAGCTTCCTTGGAAGTCAGAGTGCATCTGCCTGAGAGGTAAGGAACTAACAGTCTGTATACAAATTAGTCAGATCTGTCAAACGAATGCACACGCAACACTCATTTTCTTGAACAGGACTGCAGTCCAGAAGTGGACGAACAACCAGAACTTTCTGTTGGAGTTTACAGCGGGTGAACGTGAAGAAGAAAGAAAAATTCATTTTTGGTGACATTTTGTTTCCACTTGCTGTTAATGTTCACACTTGACACTGACAACATAGGAAAGGAACAACGTTTTGCAGCACACAACTTTTCTGCTTATAAAACTATGTGCTTATCAATATAAACCTACAGTAAGAAGCCAGTCATCTTCATCATTATACTGCATCATCATCATGGGTGCCATGCCGAAAAGTTTAAACTGCCATTGTTCATTCTCTCACATGATCACCATAATCATAGTAGGAGTCTGTGTTCTTTGTCTTGACCATACCATGTAGTAAGCCATCCAGGTATTTATCTATTTATCTTCCTTCTGCTATTTTCTATCAGTATGCCAGCTGGCACTAAGATTTCAGATTTATTTCTCCTCATGTCCAGTTACAAGCAATTACCTTTTTTAAAACCTAGCAAATTACTATGCCGTCTTCATATTTCCTAGATGTTGTGAGGGCTCTTTGGAAGTGAGTGAACTATGGGGAGGCACACATATGGTATGACTAAAATGGTGCTGCTGGGAGTTGCCAGGGGATCTGGTCGACGCTCAACACTCAAAGGAAAGATGAGACAGATGTACAATCAGAATGTTACTGTTGCCATCGGAACTGGAACTCTTCGCTTGCTGCTGAAGGTGGAGAGGGAGTGCTTATGGTTGTGTCCTGAATGCTTTGATGTCGATTCTAAATAACATTTAACATTCTTAATATTTCCAAAAAGAACACGAGAGAAGGCTAACCACCATGTTTGAGAATGGCTGCGAATAAAACCAGAAGAGATCGAGTGAGAAACGATGTGATTATAAGAACTATTGGAACCATACCCATCGTTAAATTTATTGAGAAGCAAAGAATGAAATGGTTTGGTCACCTAGTGAGAATGGAACCAACGATGCCAGCATCAAGAGCATACAATATGAAAATCGAAACAGCAAGAGGCAGGGGAAGACCAAGAAGAATATGGATTGAAGGAGTCACGGACAACTTGAGACTTCATAACAACACAGCATATGAAGCGACTGAGCGCGCCCTGGCTTGGTTGCCGATCATCTGATAGACTGCGACGCCTAGCGGCACAAGCAGATTTTGACAAAAGAAGAAGAAGAATATTTCCAATGAATATACAATTATCTTCCTCTCCTCTGTCATAGACTGTAAGTGGTCTTAAATCTCTGTGCCTGAGTTATTAGTTAAACTATTTCTATCATAAAGGGTCTGTATTAAATTCTATCATACATAATTATTTATTGGATCAACACAATGGGAAAGAAACAGTGATTGAGAGTGAAAGAGTTAAAATAGTCCTGGAGGACCAAACTAAACCCATTTTTTCACTTTTATCAGAATGCATTTAACAGAAAGCTCCCTCTTTCATGTATTTATCTCAAACCATTCAACTGCGAATTACAATTCTAAAAACATGTAGAGGAATGTAAAAGACTGTTTATGCCATTAGTGCCTTGGGCATATGATGCTAGACTCATACTTTTAGACCAATCGGCACTGAGTGATGGTCAACATTATGTTAGCCACCTTTATTTCCCAGGAAATTACCTGGTATCCACTGTAGGCTGGATCAACCAGGAACAAACATGTGCCTTGATGCAGATTCAAATCCACGACCTTATCAGAAGGTAAGAGTCTAGCCATTACACTACCGAGACTCCCAGGTAAAGGAAAACACAAATTTGAAACAAACTTACAGGTTCTGTGTGCCTGATGCTGACAACATCTCCAATTTTTCCGGAGTCTATAATATCTTTAATTGTTGTGACCCAGGCCGTATAGCGAAGAACATGACAGACAGCCAATTTGACGTTAGTTTCCTTGCACACAGCCACAATTTCTCGACAGTCCTCTTCCGTAACCTTTGAAACAGAGAAGATACAAACCGAAGTGATGGGTAATCTACATTTAGGATGCAGAAGATGCAGATTATAAGTATGAACAAGATTTCCTCAATCACCTGAACAGAACAGACCAAGTAAAAATTTGTTTTGCTCATGCACTCGACACGGCAGACTTGACAAAAACTCAAAAAAATTAGGTATTAGCCAAACAGCTCTCGGTCAGTGTCTTCGTGGTCAGCAGACTCCAGAGCATGTCTTGCAACTCCGTCCTCTCCTGGCTGAGCTATGAATCAACATGTGGTCACATCAAGCACACCTGACAACCAAGCTTTAGGAAAACCTAAGAGACCTTGAGATGACAACCCAGTTATTGGCCCACATTAGATTAAGCACAAGATCAGAGCTTACTGAAGAAGAAGTAACAGAAGAAGAAGAAGAAGAAGAAGAGGAAGAAGAAGAAAAGGAAGAAGAGAAAGAAGAGTAAGAAGAAGAAGGCGGAGGAGGAGGAGTAGAGGAGGAGGAGTAGAGGAGGAGGAAAAGAAGAAAAAGAAAGTATGCAGAGGTGCTGAACCACATAAGGGGGTGAACCAGGACAAAGGGTTCAGACTAATGAAGACTTTTCTACACATTTCCCTGGTCAAACTAGACACAGGTTCTAGATAAAGGGCTTGGCTAATGTAGATAGAAGTGACGTTTCCATCGAGGTCAGTATGCATCTGCCTCAGGTTCAAGGAACCAACAGTTTGCACAGAAATAAGCCATATTGATAAAAAGGATGTACATGCAAGACTTAAGTCCTGGAACAAATCAGAGTCCCTTAGCGGATGAGCTTTCTGCTTGAGATTAAAGCTGGTGAATGCAAAAAAGAAGAAAAAAGTAATCTACACTTTAAATAAATAAATAAGCTAGTAAAATATAATGCTAATAACAAGTACTAACAAATACATATTGTATTTCAGTTTTTTTAAAAACAGTTTTTGTATAAAGCAACGCATCATGTGTAAATGCCTTTTCTTAATTTGTACCAATTAACACACAATATGTGATGGTATATCATATATATATGGTCAGAACATATTAAGGACATCTAGCATATTATTTTTTTTCCTTACATATAAAGAATATTTGGCTCATGTTAAAGAAACACACTTATGATTGCTGGAAAAACAAGGGCAATAAAAGAGAGTGTGACACATACAGAGGAATTTCTTTATTGAGCCACGTAGGGAAGCTATATTCAAAAGTACTTGAGACAAGAACAAAACATATTGTAGAGATACAGCTGAGTAAAGCTCAGTTTGGATTTAGGAAAGGAAAAAGTTGCACAGACGCCCTTTTCACCCTAAGACAACTTAGTGAAAAGGCAATAGAATATAACAAACAACTCAATATAGCATTCATTGACCAAGAAAAAGCCTTTGACAGGGTAGACAGGAACAAACTATGGAATATATTGAACGACTATGGAGTACAAGGTCAGCTACTAGACAACATCAGATCTCTGTACCAAACAAGCTCAAGCGTAGTTAGAACAAATGTTGGTGTGACAGACAAATTCATACTAAGAACAGGAGTAAGACAGGGTTGTGTACTATCACCACTACTATTCAATATATACATGGACAGAATAACAACAGCAGCAAACCATGTAATGATAAGCGAACTGTTAACTACATCAAGCAGTGAGACAGAGTTAGTTGAAAGAGATCATTATAATGAAAACATACACGCCGATCCTGATGAAGTATATCCCCAACTGAACGAAATACTTTTCACAGACGACCAAAGCATAATACATGAAAACAAAAAAGAACTTCAAATCCACGTAAATGCGCTACACACAGTCTGCAACGAATATAACAAGAAGATCAGCATCACCAAAACAGAAATTCTGAAAATAAGTAGAACACCTAATATACTAACTATTCAAGTTAACAACGAACAACTCAAACAAGTGCAGCAATTTAAATACTTGGGGAGCATCTTCACAGATGATGGAAGAATTGATAGGGAACTTGAAGCAAGATGTCAAAAGGCGAACGCAGTAACTTACTAACTCTTCCCACTGCTAAAACACCCAAGCATCACTATGGCACTAAAACGACAACTGATAAATTGCATGTTTATACCAACCCTCTGCTACCAATGCCAAACCTGGTCCCTAACAAGAGCACAGGAGAAAAAGATCACGACGTGCGAAATGAGATGCTTACGTAAGGCTGCCAATGTCACAAGGAGAGACAGAGTTCGAAACGAGAACATTAGATCAATTGTAGGAACCACACCATGCCTGCAATATATAAAGAAGCAACAAATAGAGTGGTTTGGCCACTTGATGCGAATGCAAACCGACCAACTGCCTCTACGAGAATACAACGAACAGCACTACTGCCCTAGAGCAAGAGGCAGACCGAGAGTACGATGGATAGACAATATATCAGAGATCCTGAGGCAACACGGACTAACAACAACATGTGCAACACACCTGGCCCAGGATAGAAAACTGCGACTCCCCACTACGCTGTGAGGCAATTGTGGACAAGACAAGAGAGAGAGAGAGAGAGAGAGAGAGAGAGATTGTGTTGTTACTGTTTTTATCTTGTCACAAATGCAGGTTCATGCAACAATGTGAGTTGCTGATTTTATGTGGAACTAGCTGTACCCGGCCAGTCATTGCTGTGGCCCATGATGGTGAAATGGAGAGGAAAGAAAATAGCTCTCAGCTTACAGTGTCTGTCAATCATCCCCCCCTCTCCCCTCGACCCAGTCACATCTGGCGAAATTATTAAAATAGACATAATTAAAAAATGATAACTTTAAAATAATATTTTAAGCTCTCTCAGCTAACTGTGTCTGGCATACCCCCCCCCCCCCTTTTCCCCACCAATCATATCTCCCTCTCCGAAGGATTGAAAAATCATCAACTGGCGAAATTATTAAAATAGAAAATAGTTAGGAAATGAGAACTTTAAATTAATATGTTAAGCTCTCTCAGCTAACTGTGTCTGGCATAACACCCCCCCCCCCCCCCCCCCCCTCCACCAATCATATATCCCTCTCCGAAGGATTGAAAAATCATCACCTGGCGAAATTATTAAAATAGAAATATTTAAGGAATGAGAACTTTAAATTAATATGTCTCTCTCAGCTAACTGTGTCTGGCACGAAAATCATATCATCCTCTCCAAAGGATGGGAAAGTCACAATGTGACGAAATATTGTAACTAAATTTAGCTTGGCATCCGTGTCCACCCAGACTTAAATAGGTAGAACTTGTACTGAGAAGTAAATGTGGCCAGTGTAACAGCTACCACATCAACCATCCAGTACCAGTACTACTACTACCACCACCACCATCACAACAACAACAAAAACTGTCACTACAGTCTGTGTAGGTCGGTGTAGAAAAGAGGAGTTAGCGCCGCATGCTGTCACCACGGACTATTTAGTTTAATGTTGCCCCCGAAAAAAAAAAAACTTTATTACGTAACCAGTGATGAAACCCACAGTAAAAAGTACACAATACTCACTCTCCGAAGGAACAATTTTTAACTGACCTTGGCATCCGTGTCCACCCAAACTAAACTGGCCTGTAAGCTGTCTTAGTTAACAGTTTCTGTCATCGCCGAATAGTTTTTGATCGAGAAGTGTCGCGGGGAGGCTAAGTAGGACTTAAATGAAATTGGATGCCTTTGGGCAGATATTGCAGCCTAGCTGTAAACCACAAAACAACGTGGCACCACCCTTTTAAGGGAAAAAGAACAATTATCACCCAGCGGGGAATCGAACATCGGTCACCCGCATGAAGGATGACATACTTACAACTATACTACCGACGACTGAAGAGTTTAGGTAAGATATCGCAGCCTAGCTGTAAACCACGACACAACGGCCCTTTTGAGGGCGAACAAAGATTACCTGTGACATGACCATTGCGCATCACGTCGCCGCTGTCGCAGGCTAGCTGTAAACCCCAAAACCCAAAAAGGCGTAAATATCACAGCCTAGCCATAAACCACAACACAAAGTGCCAGTCGCCCAGTTAAGGGCTAAGATAAATAATTATATCACCTAGCGGGGAATTGAACGCGGGTCACCTGCATGATAGGCAGAATAGCTACCAACTACGCTACCAAATATCAATCAGAGAATGGAAATGAAATTATATAATAATGCAAAGTTCAGTAAGAGGTCAGCAGTCAAATATGGCCAATGAACTAAAAACAAATCCAGGCCGGCAACGAAACAAAGAATGATTTGACCGTTGCTGGAGCTACATCATTCGTGGTTTGTGCGATTTTCTGACAAAAAAGTCGCGCTTGAAGTCAAAGGCAACGTTGTATGAAAATTTGAAAGCAATCGGTTCAGTAGTTTCTGAGTTTTTAGCTAACAACATCGGAAAGTTAACATTTTTATTAATATAGATGATTTTTTTTCTTTGTTGTTTCCATGACAGCTTTGTGTTGTAAACTGCATTTAAAATGGCAGGTGGAGGTGTGGGCCTATTAGTAGTGTTGGCCCATCAAATGGTTGCCTTATGCATTTATAAATGTGTGCAAGCTTCAAGGTTTTGATGGGACTGTCTCATTTTCTACTAGTTTTCAGAAGGGACACTGAAGGACAGTTTGTGTGAATTCCTCTGGCACACAAGTGGAGCAGTTTTGGGGAATCCCATCTGCAATGAAGCTAGAAGATCGACTAACTAACGGCCTTACTCCTGCCACAGGGCAGCTAGTTGGAACTTTAAAAAAAACTCTCTGCTGCCTGTACCTACCCCTTTTAGGGTAACATTCTTCTTATTTGTTCTTCTGCAATTGTCCTTAAAAAGGCAGTTAGCATGTTGTGTTGTGATTTATATCTTGGCTGTGACATCTGCAGCCTTTGACCCAACACATGCAACTTCAGAAAACCCTAATTAGTTGTTTGTAAGGGGACAATGGGTCTATTCTGATTTCTCCCCAAAAATAAGGCCTCAGAAACCACATAGGGAAGGTGGGTGCAAGACAGGGGAGTTGTGAACCTGTAGCCCTTGTTAGTTGGAGAAAACCTCTATAAGAATGTGTTCATCTTTAACCCTGATGAGAACAGCTTTGATTATAATTGTGGAGTTCTGAATACTTGGGATCAAAATAATTGAGTGAAGCTCTTTCGCTGATGAGAAGTTTTTATGCGGCAACTGAATGTGGTCAGGGGTCTTGGAACAACATATCTATTCATCAGCTAAGACAAGAATAAAGAATAATTTTAGACTCTTACTATCCATAAGTAGTCCTTCATTCATTCAGTAGCATGTCCCTCGCGGAACCTCGCTGCCATAACAACCCTCCGGAAAACCTTCCTATCATGAGCAAGATGTCCTGCGTCTGATACACCCATCTGGAGATCATCTGCCACATCCTGCACCCATCTTCTCCTTGGCCTTCCTCTTCCTCTCTTCCCAGGCATATACCCCTCCATTATTGTTCTCTCTAGACTTCCATGACGTTTCAAGTGACCAAAATATTTCAATTTTCTTTGTTTTATTGTCTTTACTAGCCAACCCTCTTCAATATTCAGCTCTTGAAGTATGGATGCATTAAAGTAGTCCTTGGAAGCAGCAAAAACAACAACAAAAAAACACATCCTGTAAGAAGGTTAGAGAATGGCCAATGCTCAAACTATGATCTCCATGGATCTCCAAGTAAGCTGCACTGGAGAATCGAGCAAGTCTGAACTGTTTCAGTCCCAATAAATGCATCATGTACAGTCAGCCTCTGTCCATGTGTCTTAAACAGAACTTGATCTTATTTTTGTGATAAACATTTGAACCTCATATTTACAAATTTAACAAATATATTTTATGTTCTAAGCTAGATACTGCCCCCCCCCCCCCCCCCCCCCCCCCAACCCATGAAAGTAATGCATGTATGCTTTATTCCTTGTGGCCAGGTTCTCGTTAGGCATTTCATCTGAGAACTTATGGGACTGAAATAGTTAAAATAAACCCATGCCAATCACTGTCAGACATGAAATTTGATCTCTTTGTCTGGGAGATCCAATTTCTAGGCAATTTTGACTTGCCCTTTACTGCATTAGATAAGTAAGTTTCTCCCATGTAAAACCCAGACATGGACATTTGTAAGCTACATGCGAGTAGCTAACAAGAGCTGCAGTTTCTAAATGTGCAATAAAAAAATCACTAAAACCTCAGTCTGAAAGATAAAATCCAAAAGCACATTTTTGTTTTAACTGACAAGAGAAATTACTTAGCAAATATGGTGGAAACAAATGTGTTGTCCTTACTGCCATAGGTTTCTCCAAGAGGATATGGTATCCAAGTTTGGCAAAAGCCACAGCTGGCTCCTGAAAAAAAAAAAGTAATTAATGGATGAACTGACATTTACAAAGTTCATAAAATCAACATTTGAATGAAGAGTGCAAACAGATTTACCGTGCTTCCATTGCTAAGTATGGCATATAATAATTCCAATTACCATATGTTTCTGTGTACAAGTTATAGATTTACTGAAAAGAAACATGTCTGTGTGCACTGTTCAGTATAACACAATAATAATAATATTTTATCTAATTAGTTTTAAAGTTAAAGATTGTGGTCAATGGCAAAAACAGCAATTTAGATGTCAAGTGTTCTGTCTTCACATTTGCTAGACTACAATACAATCCAGGATGGCTAGCGTGTTCTCTTCCCTACTGTTTTTCTCCTTCCCAAAAAATTATCATAAACCTTTTAAAATGACCCAATACCAATTTAATAAGATTGTGTTAAAAGAGCCAGAGTGGTCAGAAAAAATTTAAATGGCCTCTACTGGTGACTGGACCTGGACTCATTCCACTACACAGCTATGCACTGTTATATTTTATTAAAATACAATACAAATTTTACCAGCGACATATTTGTCAACCTCCATGGTCACAAATCTAAATGTTCCACAATGAACATACTCAGCATTAAGTGACACACCTTGCGTATATAAGTAACAATTTGCTCTAGGTTCATTTTGCAGCTGCTTCGTTCAGTTCACCAGCACAGCTTTTAGATATCCCTGGGGACCTTTGCTGGAGCTGCAGAGTTCATGCTTTATGTGATGCTCTCAGCAGGCAGCGAGCCATTCAGGGGAAATTGACTGAGTTATATAGGGTAAACTGGTGCAATAAATTCGGTCCTCTCGACTTTAACTTTATAAAGGAAGAAACAAGTATCTAACTTTATAAACGAAGAAACAAGTATCTAAGTTTATAAACAAAGAAACAAGTATCTAACTTTATAAAGGAAGAAACAAGTATCTAACTTTATAAACAAAGAAACAAGTATCTAACTTTATAAAGGAAGAAACAAGTATCTAACTTTATAAAGGAAGAAACAAGTATCTAACTTTATAAACGAAGAAACAAGTATCTAACTTTATAAACAAAGAAACAAGTATCTAACTTTATAAAGGAAGAAACAAGTATCTAACTTTATAAAGGAAGAAACAAGTATCTAACTTTATAAACAAAGAAACAAGTATCTAACTTTATAAACAAAGAAACAAGTATCTAACTTTATAAAGGAAGAAACAAGTATCTAACTTTATAAACGAAGAAACAAGTATCTAACTTTATAAAGGAAGAAACAAGTATCTAACTTTATAAAGGAAGAAACAAGTATCTAACTTTATAAACGAAGAAACAAGTATCTAACTTTATAAACGAAGAAACAAGTATCTAACTTTATAAAGGAAGAAACAAGTATCTAACTTTATAAAGGAAGAAACAAGTATCTAACTTTATAAAGGAAGAAACAAGTATCTAACTTTATAAACGAAGAAACAAGTATCTAACTTTATAAATGAAGAAACAAGTATCTAACTTTATAAACGAAGAAACAAGTATCTAACTTTATAAACGAAGAAACAAGTATCTAACTTTATAAAGGAAGAAACAAGTATCTAACTTTATAAAGGAAGAAACAAGTATCTAACTTTATAAACGAAGAAACAAGTATCTAACTTTATAAATGAAGAAACAAGTATCTAACTTTATAAATGAAGAAACAAGTATCTAACTTTATAAAGGAAGAAACAAGTATCTTGATCTTTATGTTCTAAATTAGTGGTACTTGAATATGACATTTGTAACCTGTCAACAAGTGACATCAAGTATTTAGTTGACATCTTTACTCACAAAGACACTTGTTAGTTTTACACTGGGTTGACCTGGGATTCCAGGCTAATGTTGCTCTCATGATGCTGTATTCAAATCCTTCAAATTAATGTATTTTTCCCTATGTGGGTTTCGGGACCCTTTTTAGGGGGAAAAATTGGATCCACTGCGTCCACAACCAGTAGATCATAAGGGCTGATTAATTAGGGATTTTTTTCTCTGAAGTTGGAGCCCATCTGCATGAGCAGTGAGGAAGTAGTAGTCTGTATATGAGTAAGCCAGATCTGTAAACCAGATCTGTATGAAAAATTCAAGTCCTGGAACAAGACTAAAGTCCAAAACTGCCAGAGCTTTATGCCAAAGGTTAGAGCCAGGAAATGCAAAGAATAAAAACAAAGTGTGTGAGAATCTGGCTGTAGATTTAAACAGGCAGCTAAAATGACAACAATAAATATTTCTGTAAAACTAAAAGAACATATGTCCCTGATCTATGAAATGGGAATCCTAGGCTTGTAACCACACATTGTTCTTCTTAACAATCATTGATAAAGTATAAATAAATAAATAATAGTACAGCTATTTTGCAGCAATAGCAAAATTATAAAAAAAAATAATGTATAGATGGCTTCTTTTCTTGGGCAACATTTCAACATCACCTTGTGATCACGGTCAGTTGTAGCTATAATTACAAAGTCTGCAAACTTCTCTTTTTGAGCAGCTTCTCGCCAGTCTGAAAAATGTGAAAGATTTTGTAAACATTATAGCTATCAATTCTCAGCACAACCCAGTGATACATTACTGCATATACATAACTGTAGCATTAATTAAAATCTCCTTAATGAGGGTGAAGGCGAATGGACGTCGCTTGGCGCAACAAAGCCTGGCATATGATATCACAACGTCTAGTTTGAGAATGGAGGTGGAGGCAGTCACTGCTGCCTTCCGTTGGCTTAAGAATCAGCTGTACACATATGTCGTCATTGTAACTGACTCACAGAGCATGCTGAGAAAGATGGAGACAGGCATGCTCCATGCAGAGTGGCATGCATCACTTCAGAGGTCAGGGTAGTTAGCATCCTTTGGATATTTTCTCCAGGTCATGCCGGTGTAGTGGGAAATGAGCAGGTGGATAGACTGGCCGGTTCTGCACCACTTGGTGGTGAACTGACATATGACAAGCTGGATGTTGTGAGGGCCCTTTAGGAGCGAATGAACAGTGCCGAGGAACAGATAGATCATTACGATCTGAGGAAAATGGCACTGCGAGGAGTTACAAGGGGATCTGGCCTACGCTTGACACTCGAGGTAGGGGCGAGACGGATATGCAACCAGACTGTTACTAGTACCATCAGAATTTTAACTTTTCGCTTGCTGCTAAAGATAAGGACGGAGTGCTTATGGGAGTGCCCCGAGTGCTGTGATGTCGATTCTTAATTCAACATTCCTTAATAAGGGTAATTAGCTATTAGTTATTACAAGTAATTCAGTCACGAAGATTAGACACAATTATCTGGAGTCAACATTTCAAAAGCTTTCTTTCATGGCAGGGTGTCCAAATTTCTGACTAGTGAGTTTTGCAAAAACATTTATTCTATCTTATTTGACAATATTTTGAAAACATGTTCAAATTAATCATTTAATAAAAATTGGCAAATAAATTACTTTTACATTTTAACATTACATCAAACTGCAACAGAGACAAAGTTTAAACATAGCCATGAGAAGACCATCTCATATTTCCTTTAAGTGTTAATATGTAAAAGTAATCAATATAATGACTTACCACTGAATACATTGTCTTTTTCAATAGTTCCTATTTCCACAATTTTCTTCCTTCTAGCTTCAGATGGCTCTGCTACTCCCACAACCTTTCAAAAACGAAACTCCACAATTGAGCAGTTCAAAGTTTAGCAGTTATATGGGGAATATTTGCTTCTGAAAAGTTTTTCTCCCCAGACCCTCTACAACTTTTAAAAATTATATTAAACATGGAAAACAAGACAGGAAAACAATATTCCTTTTTTTTAAATATTCAGCATTACGAAAATACCATCTCTTATCTGTCTTTTATATTCAATACTTTAAACAAATTTACCCGCTTCTGTCATCATATTAATTATTTAGTGAATTAGCCCATTTGTACTTCACATTTAGTGACATGAAAATTGTTACTTCTATTTATTCTTAAGATAATGTGTTAACACAACATCTTCAACATCTGTCAAAGTCTCTATCTTGCAACACCAAGATCAAAATATATCAAACGATAATAAGACCAGTTGTTTTATATGGTTCTGAAACTTGGAGCACAACTAAAAGAGATGAAGACTTATAAAAGGTTTTAAAAAAACAGAGTATTACAACGCATCTTTGGACATATCAAAGATGTAAACAGCAGGGCATGGAGAGTGAGAAGCAACAATGAAATGCATATGACAGTCTGTGAATGTGTCTCATGTTCAGCTAACAGATTATTTTACTGTATTCCAAGATCACAGTACTGCCACAAAAGTATCATGGACCAAAGAGTGGAAACAAAAATACTAACACTATTATTTACACCCGGACATAGAGGTGGCTGGCACACAGATGGTATCGTGTCTTGGAAACTGAAATACTGCAGCTATATAAAAGGCCACAATAGTTTAGAGACAACAGTAATGGAGGGTGTGATTTTTGAAAGAAGAGGGAGAAGACAACTACTGGGACACTAACACAAGATATCAAGGACATTCCAGGCATGAAAGTTCATGACAAAGTTCTGCAAAGGACATGCCACATGATGATGATCTAAACCAGCAGTTTTTAACCTTTCTCAGTTTCAGGTGGCACCCCCTTGAATTATAGCAACCCCCTTCCAATTTAAAAACAAAAAAAAAATGGAAAAAAAAAGGAGGACAAAAAGGAAATGCACTATTAATAAGAACTTGTAGAAAAACAGCCACATAAACCAAAGTTCTAAATAACATAAAAGAATTAATAATCAGCAAGGGATAATTTAGCGTTCAAATATCAATGTGATGGCTGGCACTGGTTTGTCTTGATATCCACTATTTTTGGTTTGACGAGGCATACAGGAATGATGAAAAAAGTATGTTAGTATACACGATCATAACAAGTACAAATGCACTGAATTTCAAAATTGTTTTACAACCTCCTTGAAACCTCTTTGTGCTCTCCCAGGCTGAAAACCACTGACCTAAATAGTCATGAAAAGTCTAATCAATGTGATACCAAGGAGTGATACCAAGGAATGTGAGAAAAGGGTATATATATATATATATATATATATATATATATATATATATATATATATATATATATATATATATATATATATATACAATGCAAAGGAATTTGAATATTTGCTTGTTTAAAACATATGATGTACCTTCATATCCTGTGGGTACAGAGATGCATACATTGAGTAGGCCTTGCCCCTGGAACCAGCACCAACAATCAGGCAGGTCATTGGCTGCTCTTTATCTGCAACAGTAACAGGCTACGGTCATTTCTTGGTCTAGATTTGGTATTATAACACTCAAGGCAAAACTACAGGTTCTGATGGTGCTGGACTTTTTTAAAAAATGACCTCTGCTCCTAGGCCGACAGCCTTAATTGGGTACAAGGTAAAGTTCTGAGAAGTACAGGTGGGTTGGCGTGATACTGATCACATCACCCACTGAGTGTTGATTTCTCTTTAGAATATAGATCTAGCCCTAGATGTATACTTTGCGTGAAGGCATGGAAAAGGGTCCTTTACTCTACTATCTAGTCAAGTCCAAACATCTTCTATGATGTGAACTACTGTAAAATTCTACAAAAACTGTAAATTGAAACTTCAGCATTCCCATGCATTTTACCCTTTTGTTATTTCCTTTGTTATTCTCACTTCAGTTGTCAGTTATTCTTAGACACTTCACAATAATCCATTGTCCCCCTGCAACTGTTTTAACTACTGCAACTCTTCAGGTCAACATATCTGCTTCCCCGTGTGGGTTCCGGGGCCCTATTACAGGGAAAACAAAAATAGACCCACTGCCTACCCAAAAGCATGTTGTAAGAGTCGACTAACTGGGAGCTTCCTTTGAAGTCGGAGAGCATCTTCCTGAGAGGCAAGGAACCAACAGTCTGCATACAAATTAGATCTGTCAAACAGATGCACATGCACCACTCAGGTTCTGGAACAGGACTGCAGTCCAGAAGTGGACGAACAACCAGAACTTTCTGCCAGAATTTACAGCTGGTGAACGCAAAGAAGAAGAACATATCTGCTCACCCTTTGTCTCACATTCAAGTATAACCCAGACAGAAGTGTCTATGTTTAGAACTCATTCATGACACAGCTGTCAGGTTGGAACTCTACACAAAAAGGACTTATAAGACAAAAAGACACTATGTTTCCTCTGCTGACTCAGTTAACTGATATGTATTCTGCCATGATTCCCTGACAATAAGACTGGGTCTTATATTAATTATTAATCGGAATGACACCTTAAAGCTTATTTTCAGGGAATGTCTTATTTTGTTATGTAGACGTGACATCCACCTAAAGTGACCATTCATCACCAATATCTAGGGACATTCTCGAATTAGGTCTTTTTTCACCAATTATTTTTAAGAGCTTGTGTTACCCTCCAATGGTTGTCCCCAAAATCATCCCCCCAAAAAAACTGTCCCTCTAGCGCCCTCTACCTCCCTCTTTCCTAATGATTTTGTCCTGGTGGCGAGTGACCTACTAAATGACCTCCACATGACATTATCAAGTAGGGAAGTGTAATAACCTTGACCTTATCTGTTTTGGACCACTGCACTCAGAATTTAAAGCAGAACAAGTGGCCAAAATTACTTGATATGTTTGACTAAGCAATTTAGTTTGAGATAAGACAGGCCAAGAGCCAGAATAAGGAGTTTTGTGTAAATAACTATGTCAATACAATCAGGAAACTACTGCTGACTTTTTGTTTCAGGCAGAACATATTTAAAATAGTAACTTCTTTAGACCAAAAATAAAAAGTTAGCATAATAACTTTCAAGGACTGGAGGAGTTTCTGTAACAACAAGAGCAGATCTGGTTAAGTCAATAACTATTTCTCTCTGTGTGGGTTCTGGGGTCCTATTATAGGAAAAACAAGAAAAGATCCACTGCCTACCCAAACCACTGCCTACCCAAAAGCATGTTGTAGGAGTTGACTAATTGGGAGCTTACTTTAAAGTCGAAGCGCATCTGCCTGAGAAATAAGGAACCAGCAGTCTACATCAAAATGAGTCAAATCTGTAAAAAAAAATGCACACGCAACACTCAGGTTCTGGAACAGGACTGCAGAAGCAGGGCTAAACTAGATGGCTGGAACTCATGAGCAAATAAAATTGAGGAAGTTGCAGGAGATGCGAAGCTGCGGCTTGTGAGTCCCAGCCATCTAGTTTAGCCCTGCTCTGTGCCGCGCGTAGCGGCGCGGGGAAACTCTCGGTGGTGACTTTAACTCGGCGGAAGATTTTTGGCGGTATGTTGTGTAGTCGCTGGTAACATGTGACTGAGGCCCTGTTAGGGTATATTTTCGGCCTCGATAATTTGGGACCAGTATTCACAGAATAGCCTGGCCTACCTGTCATATTTGTCAGAATAAATTCATCATAATTTGACATATCATTGAGACCCTGTAAGGGCAGGATTTTTAGCTAGATAATTTAGGGCTGTTATTGGGGGAAGCCCCCCCCCCCTTCCCCCAAAAAAAAAAAACTACACTGTCTAGGATTAAGTGAGAAGTAACAGCAGCAGTGCTGAATATATTTTTTTTAAAGTTACAAATTAATTAAAAGTAACTAAGATAAGAGACGTACATTTAGAAATAGAAACTAACTTTAACTTACCGTTTTCAGCTGTGTTACCCATTGCATACACACAAATAGACGGCCCAGCAAAATAAGTTTCCAGATGATATGTTCAGAAATCAAATGATCTTTCTTAAAGTTACTGAAGCGAGCACGATCTAGTTAATGTTACACCTCACAGGCTTCACAGATAAAAAATCAGCTGCAATGCTCAGGTGTATTATGAGTTTTATATAATATAGTCATGCAAACAACACTAGTTGTAGTAGTAGTAGTAGTAGTAGTAGTAGTAGTAGTAGTAGTAGTAGTAGTAGTAGTAGTAGTAGTAGAAGGAATACGACTCATCACTGTCAATACATTCATTGAGTCAGACGTGCCTACGTGGTATCTGACAACAACTCGATGTTGTAGTTTTTCCGCTCCGACCTGGTAAATCCCAGGATCCTGTCCAGGCTTCTACTTTATACGTTTTCTGCCCAGCTTTCTGTGACGAGGGGGCGAATGGTCCTCTGAGCTACCGTGTATGATGTCGGTTATCTCCTGCACCTGGTTTGTTGTCTACTGAGATGGAGGGTCAAAGTTCATGTCAAGGGAGACGATGCAGTTTAAGAATAACTATTCCGAATTACCTAACTTTGTCCAGGACCGGACACTCGTATGCGGAGGCAACGACAGCCTATAGTTAAAGTTAATATATAAAATAAAACTAAAAATCACAACCAGCAATATCCAATTTCGTCCTTTTTAGGACGAAATTTTTTGTCATTTGAAGCCCTACTCTGGCTTTTTCCAGGGGCCGCAATATAGGCAGGCCATACATATGGCCGAATGTCTGAACGCGGTTTCTGGGACCTCTCCACGGCGATCCTCATCCGCATGGTGGCACTTTGTGTCGTCGGGTGTTTGTCGCTTGTGTGATGTCCTGGTGGGGTGGAAAGTCAGTCAGTCATCACAACCAGCACAGTTCATGGCGACTGCACTACTAAGGAGGCTCTAAATCTTTAGGCTCATCATCCCTTTCCCGTGTACTACACTGCCATACAGGGGGTAATCGCAGACAGTAAACGCGGACTTCTGCATTACCCAGTCGAGACTGAGACCTGCAGGCTTGACACAATGACCCAATACCCAATGTTCAGAAACCTGAAGCTTATATTCATTTCTCGTTCTTTTTAGGATGAAATTGTTCGTTATTTGAAGCCCTACTCTGGCTCTTGCCAGGGGCCGAATTATAGCCTTGCCATAATATGGTCTAATGGCTGAACGTGGTTTCTGTGACCTCTTCACGGGTGATCCTTATCCACAAGGTGGCACTGTGTGTTTATCGCTTGTGTGATGTCATGGTGGGGTACAAGAAGATAGATAGATTCCTTAGGTCAGTTATTCCCGTCCGCATGTGGTACGAATTTTTAGTTATTTTGAAACCCCACCCTGGCTGTTGCCGGGGTAACGGGAGTTTTGGAACCTCTCCATGAGTGATCTTCATCTGAATGGTGGCACTTTGTGTAGCCGGGTGTTTGTAGCTAAGTACGATGTCTTGGTGAGGTAAAAAGTCAGTCGATGTCAGTCAAACTCAAGAAAGAAAAAAAGACACGACGTTGTAACATTTAAAACAGATCTATTTTGGCACCGCACTGCTACACGTAGTAAACATGATGTTCTGTGTGGGTATAACGTATTTATCCATCAAAGTCGACACATTAGTTAAAAACAAGTCTTTTTCTCCATGGTGGTGCGCACAGCTATGCTGTACTGGTATTATATTATTAGGTATTTGTTTCCCGGCGCTATTGCAATATACTCTTTGTAGTGAATAACGAATACAATTACAAAAACGACGTCTTCACTGAGGTGCAAGGTGGGGGAGAAGAAGAAGAAAAGAAGAAGAAGAAGAAGAAGAAGAAGAAGAAGAAGAAGAAGAAGAAGAAGAAGAAGAAGAAGAAGAAGAAGAAGAAGAAGAAGAAGAAGAAAAAGAAGAAGAAGAAGAAGAAGAAGAAAAAGAAGAAGAAAAAGAAGAAGAAGAAGGTGAATAACGACACCTTTACTAGACACTTTGCAATTAGTACCAGTGTCCCTACCGACTTCCGGTCAATATGGAGGATAGGCAGGGTTTACTTTTTTCAAGTTTTTGCTTCTGACAAGAGTTGGCTGTTGCATTTTCCTCTATTTGTAGACTGAAAGAATATAGTTTCGTCCCCGAGCCAGTGACCTGAGCTGTGGATTTCATTTGGAATATTTTTAGACGGTTACTAAGTCTGGTTTTGGCCTGTTAACTGTAGACTCTGAAAATGGTGAAAGACCTGTTGCCACATAACTAACTGGTGGTGCCTTATGTGATAAACTGCGTGTACAGCATCTGATCTCTTGTAACTGTTGCTTTCATCGATTACGAAGTGCATTTATAATGTCGGACTGTTTGTGTTAGCACTTGTTACAGCTGCCTTATATATTTAATGCGTGTGCACGCTGTTGGAAATGCTCAGACAGTTTGTGTCAATTTTTGCACTAGGGACAGTGATCGCCATTCTGTGTTGTCTTCGCTGGCACAGGAACTAAGCAACTATGGGGTGACCCGTCTGCTCTGAAGCTGAAAATGCGAACAAAAATCTCCTACTGATTATCCTTGTAGTTCTGCGGAACCAGATTTACTGAAC